TTCCCCCTCTTTTGGCTGAGAGGTGATCTTGGTGGCTGTAGGTGAGGTGTAGGGTTGTGTGAAGTTAGCTGGAAGCCGGAAACCTTTTTCTCTTCTCCGTTGATCTCTTCTTCATCTTCTTCTCCGTTCTCCGCGGTCCCGAAGCTCGGATTCTTCACCGAGGTAAGGGAAGCTAGTTCTTTGGCTGATTTTGTTGGAAATGAGTTCATAAACTCATTGAGTGGCTGATTTTCTGATGATTGATGAGCTGTTTGATGAAAACAGGTTTTCAGAGTTTTCGGGGTTTTGATGAAAATTCGGGAGATTTTCCTTGTTTGATGTTGCATGTGTAAAAAGGCATGATTTTTGAGCTGTTGATTGAAAATGTGACACTTTAGTTGGTTTGCATGTATTTGGGATGTTGATTTTTGCAGGTTTTGGGTGAAATTTTTGAAGTGGTGAAGGTTACTGTTTGAAATTGCGCCGGCGCAGTTCTTCGCGCCTAGCGTGATTTGAAATTGGGAATCCCTGGGTGAATCACGCCGGGCGTGGGGAGAACCACGCCGGGCGCACTATCAGACGTAAATCTTATGTTTTTGTTACTGATATTGCGCCGGGCGCAGGATAATTGCACCGGGCTCAAAAGACCTTTGTAGGTCTCTGGTTGAGATTTGCGCCGGGCGTGATTTTAATGTGACGTACGTGTGTTTTTCTTTCAGAATTTGACTTTATAGTCTTCATGAAAGTTGTAGCCTTGGATGTTAGCTTTCCAATGACGCTGGAATCACCCAAAAAGAAGTTCTAGAACTCTAGATATGGCTGTTTTAGTGAAGAAGGGGTCAAGCTGCTAGCATTGGTTATAGCTGTTGCGGTTTTTATCATTTTTTAACAAGGTAGATGAAGGAATTAAGACTTGGTGTCTTTATGAGAGTTGTAGGAAATATTCTTATCTTTCATATGAGATAAGGATGAGCATGGTAGGAGTAGTATAACTCCTGATACGCTGTTTTATGTGAAGGTTGCCATTTCACAGTTAGTGATTTGGTTAAGTTAAAAGTTGTTTTAGGTGCTTAGGTTGATTGGTGTTGTTTGAGCTGTTATTGTTGTTAAGCTGGGCTGTGCTGTATGCTGTTGAGCTGTTATTGCTGTTAAGTTAGGTTGTGCTGAATGTTGTTAAGCTGTTATTGCTGTTAAACTGAGCTGTGCTGTATGTTGTTTGAGTTGTTATTGTTGTTAAGCTGGGCTGTGCTGAATGTTGTTGAGCTGTTATTGCTGTTAAGCTGAGGTGTGCCGAATGTTGTTTATGCTGATTTAAGCTGTTAATGATGAATGTTGTTGAGTTGAGTGATGATTTTGATGTGCTGTGAGATGTTTATGCTGCATTATGGTGTTAAGCTGTATTTGATGTATATTGTTGTGTTGTAAGTTGTTTAGCTGTGCTGGATGCTGATATTGCTGTGCTGTGCTGAGCTGTATGTTGTTATTGCTGCTATGCGATGCTGTTATTGCTGCTATGCGGTGCTGTTATTGCCGCTATGCGGTGCTGTTATTGCTGCTATGTTGTGCTGTGCTGCATGTTGATATGAACTGTTGTAGGCCGTAAGGCTGAGCTGTTGTAGGCCGTAAGGCTGAGCTGTTGATCACTAAGACTAGAGGAGATATTTTCGAAATTTCTCATCCCATTGTGTGGATTGAGTGGCTGTGGTGCTCTTAGAGCCCAATTTGTTGAAAACCCTCCTTGGAAAGCTGACCCTTGGAGTGGTAACTTGCTGTTCTCCTCTAAGTTCTTAGTGGTCCCGTGTGTGGGCAAGATCGAGGCACACATGTACAAAGCGACCACGGTATAGGGGCCAGGTCGAGCTATACCGATTACAAGCGACCAATACTAACTAATTTGTGTGACGATGCATTGTGTGTTTACTACTGTTTACCGTTGTGTACTGCTGTTTACTACTGTTATTGCTGAATGATGTGCTGATAGCTGTAGCTATTTACTATTCATATTTATATATGTATGTTGTTTCTTTTCACTAGCTTACCCTTTGTTGTTTCCATGTGGTTTGGATTGCGATGATCATACTATGTATGTGAGCAGAGCAGGGTTAGGTTAGTGTGTTGAGGAGAGTCTGCAGCTGGCAGATGGCAATTGTTTTGTTGTTGTATTTAGCTACTTAGTGTAGCATTGCTGGATGTATTTTGTACACTCTGACTCTAGCCAGATTTGACCTTGTATATATATATATTCTAGACACTATATGTATATACTTGTTCTTTTCTGTGTGGTGTTCTGGTGTATTGTGCTGTGTGTAGTGACCAGTCGGGTCGTTACATAAAGGGAGAGTGAGAACATCGCTTCGGAGTGTAAGGTAATTGTTTGGTAGTAGGATTGGTCCCTAATCCATAGGTTATGTGTGTATGTGTGTGGGTGAGGGATTAAACCTAAACCTAGTGTAATTTTTTATATATGAAATTAGATGTTTTGAATATGTTATAAGCGAGTATTGATGTGTAAATTATGAGACTTGTATGTGATCATGAATCTATGAGTGCTTGTCAGTTCTTGGAAAAACCCTAAGGATGTACCTAAATCCTTGAGTAGGAATGAATTCATAATAATTATAAATTGTATGCCTAAAATGTGGATTAATTAGATTATAGGAACCTCTAATAGATTAAAATTGTAAGAGTCTTGTTTTTGAAAAATTGCAAATTACTCAGAAAACCTATTTACTAATATTGCACTGGCAGTAGCTTGGGTTCATTAGGCATTGGTAACACAAAATGCTTGTTAGTATAATTTACTTTTATATATTTAAAATTATCATGTATATTATATGACAAATTTATTAATTTTTATTATAATCATATAAAATATTATATTTGGAATAATATTTGAGTAGTTGCCATTATAAATATTTCATATAGATGATACACGAAAATTAAATTAAATTATTTTTAATTTTAATGTTTAATTATTATCTTAAATTAATTTATGAAAGTAAACGATGAAGTTGTTCTATATCCATGGCCAGATTCATGACGAGCATCATATGTCACTACAACTACTGTCCACTGGTAGATAAAGTCAGTGGAACATATCACCTTACTAAGATAAAAGAGTGGTGGAAAAATTACGAGAAAGAATATGAATAAAATAATAGAATATAATTTTGTATTATTTCCCACCTCTTCTTTTCTTATCTGGAAAGGAGAACGAAAGAGTAATCTGTAAGTTCTTCTCTCATTTATTACTTTCTTTTTAAAATAGTTCTTAAAACGTTGCTCAGAGGAAATGTATTTATTGAAGCATGTTAAAACTATGTATTTCTAACGTTCCATTTTAATCATAAATACTTGAAATGTATTTATTGAAGCATGGGAAAACTAATGTGTTTCTAACATTTCATTTTAATCATAAATAGTTATTGGGACGATCCATTCCAATAAATTTTAATAGAATTATTTTATTTAATAATTTATATTTTATATTAAATATTAACGATTTAATTATTAAAATTAATTTTTTTTAATATATAGATCAAATCGACAAATTTTTGTAAAGTTTAAAAATCATATGATACTTCGTTATATAAATTCAAATTAACATATAAAATAATTTTATGAATGTTTTTCAATTTGAATTAGTGAAATAAATAATTTAATAATTTTCAAAAATTTATAAAAATAAATTTGATCTATACATTAATTTTTTTTTTAATTTAATTGTTGAATTATTAAAGTTTAATGTAAATAAAGAGTTATTTAATATAATAACTCTACCTAAACTTATCTTAGATTAATATAAAACTTATAAAAATATATATAATTTTTGACACCATGGAACACATTCAATAATTTTTTTTTATAGAATACAAATTTAACATATTCAACCATTATATTTGATGATATTACTAATTAAATCGAGTATCCAAAATCGCATATAATTTTAAATTTATTTGATAGTTGACCATATCACTTTTATTTTAACATATATGATATTCAAAATACATGAAAATATTTATTGATAGATAACATCTCTACAAAAATTTAAATCATTTAAAATTTAATATGTATAATGATGAGTTTAATATCATTAATAATAATGATTGGATCAACTAAATTTGTATTCTATTAAAAAATATTGAAGGTGTCATTTCACTAATTTAATGCTATGATGTCAACAAATCCGATCCAACTTTTAATTTAAAGTTTGTTTGATAAATTTATAGAAGAAAAAAATAAAATATTTTTTTTATAATTTTAAATTAATTGAGGTATAAATTAGAAATAATTTATTTTTTAAAAAACTAATTTTTAAAACTTCATATAAAATTAATTTATACATAAATTAATTTTCACTTATAAAAATAATTATTTTATTCTTATTTTAAATAATTATAAAAAATCATCCATAATTATTATTATTTTGTTCTTTCAACTACTTTTACTCCATTTAATGTCATTTTTCTAAAATATTTCTTCTTTAATACATGTTGTTTCAGTTATACTACTTTTAATATTTATAACAGAAACAATTTAGGAAGAGTATCATAGAAGTATTAAAATTTAATGTAGATAACTAACATTCTTAATTTTTACCTTTATTTTTATTTATTCAAATGTTATTTTTCTCCTTTTAAATTTGTACAACAATTAAATAACTTTTTTTTTTCACAATTAACTATTTTTAAATAACTTTATTTTTATTTTTAAAATATTAAACAAAATATAAATTTCTAAAATTATTTTAATTATAAAATTAATATATTAATGTCTGGACTTGATAGTAGTACATAGATAAGTATAGAGACTTCTATTTTTAATTTTTTATTATATTTATTTCAAATATTATTTTCTTCTATTTTAGATTATCAAGATATTATCATTTTAGTAATTTGTTTCCTGTTTTTAACTTATAGTATAATATATTATCATTATAAAATAAAATGAATAATTAAAAAATAATTTATATTCATTGGTTCAATTGATGTTATAGTTGGTCCTTAAATTTCAAAATCTAAGATTTGAATCTTGATTTTAATAAAAAAAATATTGAGAAGGATAGCTTTTCGAGAGATATTTTTGTCAATATCATGTACAACACAAAAATTTGAAAATTTATACATTATAATAATTTTTTTAAAAATAATATTATAAAAATAAATTTTGCTTAAATATGTTAGATATTGTAAATTGATAAGTAAGATATAAAAGATTTATTTAAATAAAGAACTCAGATTTATTAAGATATGTTAAATTGATAAGATATAAAATAAATTATTTAAATCATAATACTTTAAATTTATTATATTATGATTGAAAATTAAAATTTTTAAAAATTTTCAAATTAAAATTATAATAATATTTTTTTTGACTGAAAATTATAATAATGTTAAAACTCAAAATATCCATGATAAAAAATTGTTAATATTTCTTAATAACAGTAAATTAATTTTATAATAAATATTTAAAATAACTTAAATACCTTTAAAATGAGAACAAAATATTGATTAATGTTTTTAAGAAAATAATAGTATATTATAATTTTGAACTTAACTTATAATAATAATAATAATTATTATTATGATTATTATTATAAACATTATTAGTTAAATATAAATAAACTAATAGTAAACTGATACTATAATTTTAAGAAATAAAAAATATCATTATAATTATAATATATTAATAATCTAAAATAGTATAATATAATATTATAAAATAAACATAATAAAAAAGTCTCACATATATATATATATATTAAAGAATTCTTAATAAGTTATAGAGACTTATTTACGACATTAATAAATAAAAATATTTAATGACATATTAAATAATGACGTGTTTATTTACTGTTGAACATAGGTTTAGAAGAAATAGTCTGAAATAACACGAGTTAAGTAAAATTTTTTTGATTACAAATGATTAATTTTTTAATATATGTAAAATAATTTGTTTTAATATTTATAATAAAAAATAGAGAAAGTATATGAGACGAATCAAGTCTTGAACAACTTTTCTAATTATTTTATTTTATTTTTTAATTATGTGGAAATACATGTTGGAAGAACAGAAGTGAAGTGTGTATATATAAATACTTTGAGAACATCGCAAAGAACCAATAACGATTTTGATTGTTCCTTGCAGAACACTCATTTTTCTATGACTTTCTAAACCACAAAAACGAACACCATCACCACCGCAGATCACCGAGCAATGCCGACGGGTTTACCGGCGGTGAACTCCTCCGTCGCATCCGACGACGAGGGGTGGGTGTGGGCGCAGATCAAGGCGGAGGCTCGGCGCGACGCGGAGTCGGAGCCGGCGCTGGCGAGCTACCTCTACTCGACGATCCTCTCGCACTCGTCGCTGGAACGCTCTCTCTCGTTCCACCTTGGGAACAAGCTCTGTTCCTCCACGCTCCTCTCCACGCTCCTCTACGACCTCTTCCTCAACGCCTTCTCCTCCGACCCCTCCCTCCGCTCCGCCGCCGTCGCCGACCTCCGCGCCGCCCGCGAACGCGACCCCGCCTGCGTCTCCTACTCCCACTGCCTCCTCAATTACAAAGGCTTCCTCGCTTGCCAGGTCCATTTCTTTATTTCTAGGGTTTCCAATTCCGAAATCATAGTTAAAAGTTAATTAATTCGCTTTAATATATGGCCACTGTCAGTTAATTAGAAATTATAAATAATTATGAGTATGACTTTTAAGATAGGTATGGTGGTTGTATATGACAGTTTCTGATTAGAGGCATGTATGCTTAAGCTTCATCCTAAGTACTTTTAGGGAAAAAAAAAAAATAGAAGAAAAATTGAAATATAAGTTAATCTAAAACTAATTTATTCATAAGTTAAAAATAATATTTTTTTAAAAGTCAACACGAGAGAGATCTGCAAATTGGCCTGTATCTAAGTTTATTTTAATTTGTGGAAAAAATTATTTTATTTTTTCATCAGAATTTTGCTTCTTCTAGAAGTGTCAAATTGGTCTTAGATTGCAATGCAGAAGGATTAGTATACAGGAAATTCGGTATGACCTTTGAGGTAGCTATCCTTATAATGATAGTTTCTGATTAGATTGCGGTATAAATATTAGTGTGTAGGTACTAATTAGGCACGACTTTTGAGTCAGTTATCCTTATACATGATAGATTTTTCATGATAGGTAATTAGGTGTGATTTTTCTGGTAGTTATCCTTATACATGATAGTTTCTGATCAGATGAAGGTGTAGAGATTACTAAGTGTACTATTTACTGGAATTGATTATTGAGTGTTAGGGTTAATTCTGTGTGATTGTGATTTGCAGGCACACCGAGTGGCTCACCTGCTGTGGCGGCAATCGCGGCGGCCTCTGGCGTTGGCGCTGCACTCTCGGATTGCCGATGTGTTTGCTGTGGACATTCACCCGGCAGCAAGGATTGGGAAGGGGATTCTGTTTGACCATGCCACCGGGGTGGTGGTGGGGGAGACGGCAGTGATTGGGAACAACGTGTCGATTCTGCACCATGTTACGCTGGGTGGGACTGGTAAGGCTGGTGGGGACAGGCATCCCAAGATTGGGGATGGGGTGCTTATTGGTGCTGGTGCTACTATTCTTGGGAATATTAAGATTGGGGAAGGTGCGAAGGTTGGTGCTGGGTCAGTGGTTCTGATCGATGTGCCACCAAGGACCACGGCGGTTGGGAACCCTGCGAGGTTGGTTGGTGGGAAGGAAAAGCCCTCTAAGCATGAGGATGTGCCTGGGGAGTCCATGGACCATACTTCCTTTATCTCTGAGTGGTCAGATTATATCATTTGAATTTATAAGATGAATCAGTGAACGGATGAATACTTTAAATCAATTACTATCTGCTCTGCTGTTATAGAATTTTGTAATTTTATGTTTGAATTGAGGTTTTGTAGTGAATATACTCTGTTGAAGAGTGAACCTGTAAATGAGTTTAATAAGGGTATGATGATTGGTAATATGGAAATTTTGGTTACTGCTTAGTATACTGTGCTGTGAGTGGAAATTTTGGTAGCATGCAGTATGGTAAGATATGGTGCAGATTATATAAGCTGATTTTGTTGGTTGTCACTTGTGTTACCGGGTTAGTTTTAAGCTCCAAGTTTTTATCATTGCATTAGGTGTCCAAGGATAAATATGTAATCTAGGTGTCGTCTCGATGAAATATGGTATTTTAATTTTACAGTTAGAAGTTAAAATAGAAAAAAAGTGACAGAAATGGAAAGGATGATACGAAAATGAAAAGTAGTCTATATCTTGTCCTGGGTCTGCAAAATAAAGGATTGAATGGAATCTACTGGGGAGTTGGTCAAGTGATTTCATTTTTAAATTTTTATGGTGGTATTTGTGCAATTATTAATACTGTAGTTTCACAACAGAGGATACTGACATAAATTTCTCTTCTGATTAGTGTCTAAACGCTCGACTTGCATTTGCTCTTTCTCTCGTTCACTCGCTTTGGCTTTCACTTGCTTTTTCGTTAGGCAGTTTTGATTTTGGTAATAAATCGAACGAGGTCGGTCTTCTCAATTTAATCTCACATGATGCAGCCCGACCACAACACATAATTCTCTGTTGTCTGGAGGATTAGATTGTAGGGAAGTGGATTGTACAAGAATTTGAATGAATTGATTTTAAGAAAACCATAAAATCTAATGCTTCTCGCATTATATTTTTGGAGAGAAACAGGTGAAGAATTTAGATTGATTTTTATTTCCCAGTCAAAATCACGGGTGTGTAGGAATTTCGGAAGTATGATTATTATTGACTTCAAATAAATTGATGTTAAGCAATTTATTTGTATTTAGAAAAGATATTGCATAATTTAGCTATAAAATGATTTTGACTAATAGGATATAATTACTTGAAATCTCGCATGTGTTCGAAAACCTTATGGGTGTGATGCTTTGAAACAATTGCATTCATTATCTGTAAGCTCATATAATTAGTATTACAACATAGAATCAATTTAATTTTCGAAGCAAAAATATATATAATTTTTTTTTACCCTGTAGCAAAAATAGAGTCAATTATTTTAAAATCAAACGTGACTTTTGTTGCCAAACCAAACAAGCACGCAGTTTCGTATAACAAGCCAGTAGTTTATGTTCAGTTTAGTTCGTTTCTAGCAAGCTATATAGGGTAATTTGTAAAACAACCAAATCCAAAGACTTCTCACCATTAGTTTGTATATTAATTCGATATTAAAAATTAAACTATCCAACATGGGCATCTTACATAGTTGCAATCCTAGCATTCCTACATTTGGAACGAGATTAGATCCCAGATTACTTTAAACCTCATGTTATAGTTATTTTTCTCATGTAGCAGAACATATTCATATCCGATGCCAATGAATGCAAAGAGGAAAGAGTCGAGTTTTGGATTCACTCCTTTCTCATGTAGCGAGCATGACAAATTAAAACATGCTGCAAAAGCAGGCATATAATAAAGTGCAAGAAAGTTATACTCGCAATATCTCTGTATCCTATATATTTTGCTTTGATTCTCCAACTTTTGCTACAAAATAGCGAATCAAAATTGTCTGAATTTACCATCCCCAAAATATAGCATTTTTCCGTAAATATAGCACAGCATCCCCAAGAAAACTCTCCAAAAAATAGCACGCGGTGTGCATGCATGCACGCACACACACCCCTCAATCCCTGATACGATATTGATCCCCTTGCGCAGCCATAGATAGAATCAATAATCCCACTAAATTCTCTCCATCTTCTTCTCCCATCCCAAACAACATAAAAGAAAAAAAAAAAAAGAACATATCAACAACCATAACTGCATGCATGCAACATGAACAACACTCAGTCACAACAACACAAGAACCGCGAAGAAGAAGAAGAGGAAGAAGAAAACCGGTTGCTCCAATCAGAATGCGAGACAATACCCTTGTCCTCATGCCGCTCGTCACCCACAAAGCGCGAACACGTATACGAACAACAAGAGGAAGAAGAAGACACGGACGCGGTGTATGCAGCCAAGGACAAGGTGCACATATTCGACTTGGAGTCCGCCGGCGAAGGCAGCGGGTCCACGGCGGTGCCGCCGGTCTCGTGGCGGAAGCTGTGGCTGTTCACGGGGCCGGGGCTGTTGATGAGTGTGGCGTTTCTGGACCCGGGGAACCTGGAAGGGGACCTTCAGGCTGGTGCCATTGCGGGGTACTCGTTGCTGTGGCTGCTGATGTGGTCGACGATCATGGGGCTGGTGATTCAGCTTCTGTCGGCGAGGCTTGGGGTGGCGACGGGGCGGCACCTGGCGGAGCTGTGCCGGGAGGAGTACTCGAAGTGGGCGAGGTTGGTGCTGTGGGTTCTGGCTGAGCTCGCTCTCATTGCTGCTGATATTCAGGAGGTTATTGGCAGTGCTATTGCCTTCAAGATTCTTAGCCATGGCCTTCTTCCTATTTGGGCTGGTGTGGTTATCACAGCCATGGATTGGTAAGCTTAACAACTTTTCATGTCAATGCATTGCATCCAAAATTATATTTTTTTTAACCCATGTTATTAGTACAAAGTATCCATCAGTTTTATTGATGACTAATTCTTGTCGGGAAATTTAGCTAGCCACCTTTAGTAGGATCTTTTCTCTCATTTACATTTTTTTTATACATAAGACTCGAACTCAACATTTTGGTTAAATATAAATGTTTATGTGATAAGATAAGTCTAAATAAGCCGTAGATAAACTCGTCCAAACAACCATTGATGCATGAGCCTCCCATCTAGTAGGATCTGGAGAGTGTATGCAGTCTTATCTTCTCAAGCGGAGAAACTGTTTTTTTTTTTTTAAGATTTGAAACTATAATCTTATTATTGTTCCGAGGCTCATCCTCCTTTGTGAAGGCTGTTAAATGTTTGAAGAAAGAAAAAAAATCCATGTTACTATTTTGTGTTTGATTTAAGAATTTGATAATGGAAATATAACGAACTTGAGCCAAGTTTTGTTTTATGTGTCTTTTCATTCAATTTGAGTTACGGATAGAAAAGAAGTGCAGTTTACCATGTTTAATTTTATGATAAGTATGGTGATAAGAATAATAAAAATGTTGCGGTTCACCATTTTCAATCCTGCTATTTTGTCTCTGGTTGAACAGTTTCTTCTTTCTATTTCTTGAGAACTATGGAGTGAGGAAGTTGGAAGGTGTTTTCGCAGTTTTCATTGGAACTATGGGCTTTTCTTTTGCGTGGATGTTCTTTGATACAAAGCCCAATGAAGAAGAACTAATGATGGGTAGGAATTATCTAATGCCTTAGTCTGAGCACTTTCATTTGATTGTATGATGTAAAAGTATACTAGTAGTGCTTTTCTAATGATCATATTTCTTTCCATATTGGTACTTCGTGCAGGTCTTTTGATCCCAAAAGTTAGTTCAAAAACACTTCGGCAGGCAGTGGAAATTGTGGGGTGTGTGATAACCCCACATAATGTGTTCCTCCATTCTGCATTAGTTCAATCAAGGGACATTGATATCCGTAACAAAGGGCAGGTTCAAGAGGCTCTCAACTACTACTCAATTGAGTCCTCAGTTGCACTTTTAGTCACATTGGTGATCAATCTATTTGTGATAACTGTTTTCGCTAGGGTGTTCTATGGTACAGAACAGGCCAAAGGCATAGGGTTGGTAAATGCTGGGCAATATCTTGAGGAGAGGTATGGAGGAGGCTTCTTTCCAATTCTCTATATATGGGGTATTGGTTTATTAGCAGCTGGCCAAAGTAGTACCATCACTGGCACATATGCAGGCCAGTTTATAACTGAGGGTTTCCTTAAGCTCAATATAAAGAAGTGGTTGAGGGCATTGATCACTAGAAGTTGTGCTATTGTCCCAACAATGATTTGTGCTATTGTTTTCAATACATCAGAAGGTTCATTGGATACCTTGAATGAGTGGCTTAATGTGGTCCAAGCAATACAGATTCCTTTTGCACTTATTCCACTTCTTACTTTGGTGTCCAAAGAGGAGGTCATGGGGACCTTCAGAATAGGGCCTATAGTAGAGGTAAGATGTCTACCCAACCCTTCAGCTATTTTTATCGAGAGTTATTAATATAAGAGTCATGAATAAATTTTTTCAAAAACATTTCTAGCATAGAAAAATAGAAAACATAAATCAAAACTAACTTATACATGAGATAAAAGATTTTAGAGAAGATATTCAGAGAACTTATACAAATTAGATTATATATAAGTTAGTTTTAGTCTATAAAGAAACTTATTTCGTTTTTCTTTCTTATTTTACTTTCCTAAAAGTGTTTTCAGAAAAATTTATCTAAACAAGTAGTAAAGCTATGAAGATTTTAGGTTAGATAGGATTCACCGATTTTAAATTCTAATTTTGTTGCAGCTACTGTACATGCACAAAAAAGTGACTAATGTTAAGTATTTTCACAAACCAACATATGAATAATTTCTAATGTATTTGTTTGTAAGTTCCAATGGTAAATAATTTCCATACTTATCTATAACTTTGTTCCTTTTATGATGTAGAGAGTGTCTTGGAGTGTGGCTGTGCTGGTGATATTGGTTTATGGATATATGCTACTAGATTTTTTCCTGGCTGAAGTGGATGGGCTGTTGTTTGGTTTTCTAGTATTCTTTTGTGCTGCAGCATGGATTTCATTTATCATATATTTGGTTCAACACAGTGGTGCCATTCCTTCAATGCTGTTGAGGTCCCCTAATTCCAAAGGCTTTTTCTCTCTTAATGGGAACTAAGCTTGCAAATCCATATCATTTTTTGGGTTAAAATGAAAAAAATTAATCATGTTGTCAATTTTGCAAGAGGTACCGTTTTCCAAAATAAAGCATAGGTTCAACAGATAACCGTCTCTGAACTTGGAAAAGGAATGCAAGTCCATTCATTGATCAGCTGAAAGAAATTATATACTTTGGCATTGTCTTCACTCAAGATGCACAAGATGAAGGTACATGATGGTGATATAAGAAACTTTTACTAACTAAGCTCAAAATTATTTTGTACAGAAATTAGGAAAATCTACTTGATTATAAGTTGAAGTAGCTTAGGATGTAATATATATAGTCAAATAGATATATTTTTGTGATATAATTGTATGAACATTTTGGAGTTGTACTAGTCATAACCTAAGAAATACATTTGCACCATACACTGAAAAATGGCTTTAATTTAGCCAATAAACTGTGTTATCCTCTCATTTCACCTTTGTTGTTAGTTATTATTTATTTGATTTTATCTCAATGGTCTACACCGTTTCTTTTAATGTATTTTCAGTTCTACTTTTGCGATAATTGGGAATGAAGTCGTTTTCTTTTGGATTATTTAAGGGCAAGGTACATAGTGGCATTAATTCTAGGGGATATGCATAAAAAAATCCTAAACTTTATTTTGAGATAGCCAGCTACCTCTAACTAAGAAAGTATAGTAGAGGTTCACAACTTTCAAGGACTTGCAAATAGACACTTTTGCTCTCTTAATTTCTTTATAATACAATAAAATATAAGACAAATAAAAATGTACAAGAAATGAAATAAAAGAGATTTAAAAAATGAAATAACGTGAATAAATTAAAGTTCATTATCATTATACATCTGTGCCTATCAGAGTTATTTAATGATTAATTTTTTCACTAAAATTAATACAATTAAGTTCTTGACACATGATATAATTTTCACTCCTTTTAATTTAAATAATGATTATTTAAAATTAAAATTTTATTTATTTATTTGTTTTGACTATAAGTTTATAAACATTATTAGGATCATCGTGTCTAATGTATTGTTCATTGTGACACTTGTTGGCCCGTCATGATTAAGGGAAGAAAGTGTTTATAAATTATCTTTGACTTCGACTACTAAGCTACCCTTAGCTTAGATTTCTTAGTGATGTGAGACTTTTAGTTATATCGAAACAAGCCTCCTAATAGAGGCTAAGGAGCAAGAGTGGCCTAGGCCCTTCTTTTAGCACTAATGTTTTGATTGTCAGTCCATTAACATCGATAGAGTCATTGCGTCCGAAGTATTTTTCGCTAATGATAGTTAAGCTGTCATGATTTTCAACTTATTTAAAAGACGCCTTTGTTGATTAAGGAGGGATAATTTTTATATATAAAATACTCATTGATTCCTCAATGATATGAGACTTTTTAGACATTACCAAAACAAGCCTCCCAATCGAGGCTAAGGGGGCAATGGTGGCTTGGATCTTTCTTCTAGCACCTATGTATCAACTATAAGTTCGTGAACATTGTTAGGCTAATTATGTCTAAAGTATTTTCTGCTTTGACATTTATTAGATCGTCATAGTTTTGTTCTTGAAAAGGCACCTTGATAGGTTAAGGAAGGAGGGTGTTTATCAACTACCCTTAGTCTCAATTCTTAAACGATACGAGACTTTTAAACATACTAGAACAATTTATTTTTATCAATATGATTATATCAAATTTGATTTTTCTTTCAAACCAAATACTCCTCTGTCTTCTTCTCTAAAGCATTTTATTTGTTCATCACCATATAATTTAAGATTCATTTTGTTCCCATCGTTCTTGTAACATATACGTACACTTACTATTTTCCAAAAATTGTACATATAAGCGTGGGATAGCCAAATTTGGCTTGGAATTGTTGTTATCCTACTATTATTTATACGTCATAAATCAACAAAAAACCTTTATTTACGTTAGAGACAAAAGGTTACGATAATTAGGAACCATTCATTAGAGTTGGTCTAATGTAAAGATATTTTATACAAAATTTTAGATTTTAACTTTGTTACCTTGGATAATCTTCCAAAGATCTAGGAGTCCAAAGCCACAACAACCTCGGAGGTGCGTGATCTAAAGGTTCTTACTCTTGATGAACTTCTTGGAGCTTTGCGAGTTCATGAAGTTCACTTGAACAGTAGAGACCATCTTAAAGCTAACGAATCTGTTGCTTTGAGAATTGGGGAAACCAATAAGAAAGAGATAAAAGGAAGGCTTTGATGGTTGAGTTTGAGCCTAGTAACTCAGATGATAGTTTTGAGAACTCAGAAGACAATGAGATATCTCTCGTGTTTAGAAATTTCAAGGACATGATGAAAAAGAAAGGAAGACTGAATAACTTCTACAAGAAGAAAGATAGGTTTAAGAAACCTAGTCAAAGGGTCAACAAAGAAGTAATCTAATATGAGTATAAGAAGCCCGAACACATGAAGGTTGAATGTCCTACACTCATAAAGTGATGTATTAGTAAAAGAAGGCCAAGAAAAGCTTGATGACCATCTAGAAAGATTTGGACAACAATAGTAACAACAATTTAGACAAAGAGAAAGTCAACATCTATCTAATGGAAGATGTTGACTTTGAATAAGATGATATAGAGATTGAGACAAATTCTAATTCCAACTCATGTTCATATGCTTCAGATGAGGAAAATATGTCTTATGAGACTCTCCTTGCAAACTCTCACAGATCTCTCTCGAGTATAAGAAATTAAAAAGAAAAATGAAAGATTTTACAAAATGAGAATGATAAACTCAAGAAATACAAGTCAGACACTATAAGATAGATACAAACTCTAAAAAAAAAGATCATTAGTAGTGTTCTAGCCAAGATTACAACATTAGAGGTTGAAAATATGCAACTCAGGAAGGACCTGGCTAAATTTGCTGATGGCTCTTCTAAATTAAACATACTTTTAAAACGTAGAAGATTTCTATTAGACAAAAGTGGTCTTAACTTTGATCTTGGATCCGAGACATCTCAATCCAAACCTAAGATTGCTTTATGCAAGGCCAGTGAAAAAGGAGGACAAAATCTAGGCCAATAGAAAACCAAGCCTAAGGGTATGGGTACTAATAGGAAATGACCTAAAAATATTTGGGTACCAAAGTCATAGATAATTTCTATTGTAAATATCCTTGGTTGGAAAAATGATTCACACTGGTACCTGGATACTAGCTACTCACGACACATGATAGGAGAAATGTCTATATTCGTAGACTTTCATCCTCATGAAGAGTCCATCTCCTTTGAAGGAAGAGAAAAAGGAAAGATAAAAAAAACTTGGGCATGTCAATATGAAACATATTTCAAAATTAACCAAAAAAGGTTTAATAAAAGGACTACATGATGTTTCATGGAAAACTCACCTTGTTTGTGAAGCATATCATAAGGGGAAACAAATCAAAACATCTTTTAAATCTAAGAAAGTTGTTTCCACTTATAGATCCTTATAATTGTTATATATGAATCTATTTGGTCTTGCCAAAACTTTAAGTATAGGTGGTAAGAAGTATATGTGTAGACACTAGTTTCTGTCTGGGATGAGAATCCAAAGATGGGAAGCTTCTAAAGCGAGAGAAGTGACCTTCAAGGGACCTTGAAGACTCTGGGATGCATCGAGATGGAGTAGGATGAAGTTTCATGAAAAACACATAGAAGGGGGGTTGAATATGTGTATGTGTGAACAAAGGCATTTTGAAAACATTTTCGCAAGGGACTCATTCTTCGTCTAGTAAAAATGTTATTTTGAACGCTTAGTGTTTGCTGTGCAGATTTTGCGTCTGAAAGTTTATCGTCTGCACAAGAAAAATGATTCTTAAACAAAAAACCATTCTTTAAGATAGTAAGTTAAACATGTGTGGTTTTCGTCTAAAAATAGTTATAATGGACGATAAGCATTGGGCGAAATTTTTAGTGTCTTAAATCAACTAAATAAGAGTACGTCTGAGACATATAAAAATAGTGCAAGTATTTTTATACTGGTTCGCTCAAACTGAGCTATGTCCAGTCTCCTTTAATTGAAGGGTTCCACTAGATATTCAATAAAGTACAAGTATTATTTATTCAGCCGCTTCAGGCTCGTAGCGAGTATTATAGATCACCCAAGTCACGACTACTCCTGATCAGCCAACTTCACTCATTGGTTCTAGTATTCTTTAATCAGCCTTTTCAGGCTAGTATTGAGTATTCTAGACCACCCAGGTCACGACCACTCCTAGTCTGATGGAGAAGGTAAGGAGGAGTGATGAATGTTCTTCTCCTTAGCTCTCCTTATGCACGGATCTTCTTCAAGGAAATAGAAACCAACGTGATGAACACTAGATGGAGGAGATTCTCGGATAGGAAGAAAGCTTAAGCCTTGGATGGAAGCATCCAAGCTTAAGGTGCAAGGGAAAGCTCACTTCAAAGAGGAGGAAATCCTAGAAGGGTTCCTAAGGTGAAGCTTTCTCTCATGGTGACTCTTGAACGAAATTTGGCTGAATAAGCTCTCAAATTTCATTATTCTCAAAAGTGAATACAAAGAGTGGAAGAATCACTTAAGTAGGGTTCCAAGTGTGCAACTTTGGGCGCCTAAATCCAAGGCTACATGTGGCGCCCAAAATTTGAATTCAAACTTGAAATTTGAATTCAAATTTTGGCTCCCATGTGCTAGTCCGAAAATTTAGGTGCCTAGATGCATTTAGGTTTGATTTGAGAGTTATTTAGGGTTAATTTGAGTGGCACATGTTCAGCCACCCATGGTGCTAAACATGTGACTCAAATGTAACTTAAATGACTTCCAAATTAAACCTAGTTTAACCTAATTTACCTATTTAAGTAATTCTTGTATATTCCTAATCTAATGACCTAAATACAATGGTCAAACAAATACAATGGAAAGGAAAAATTACAAGAATGAAAATGAGCCCAATATTGGGTACCAAAAGCCCAAAGGCCCATGAAGCCCAAAACTAGGCCCAACAAGCCTAAAACCTAAAATGCTACTCTATGTGGTCCAAAATACAAGACCAAAATATATGATACCTATACTAACATGATGTATACAAAACATATGAAAATAGCTATAACAAAATATGGCCCATGAAAAGTTCAACTTGGGCCTTCCCAGGCCCATCGGGCCCATTGGGCCTTGACTGACCCACACCTTCATGTCTAACCAACTCCTCTTGGCTCCTTCAATATGTCACCTCTTGCCTTCCTAGGCATGATTCCATCATAGTCCCAAGTATTCTCAACCACTCCTAGTTTGTCAACTTCACTCGTCGATCCTAGTAATCTTTGCTCAGCCACTTCTGGCTCTCAATGAGTATTATCGACCAACTCCTGGCCCGCTAACTTCACCACTAGCGTTAGTATTCTTTAATCAACCACTTCTGCCTCTAAGTGAGTATTGTCAACCAACTCCTAGCCCGCTAACTTCAG